ATCGGCCTGGGCTGGGGCTGGCTCCGCCCTTCGCCCCGCCCACCTTCTAGATCTCTCGAGCTCTTTCCCGAAGGCTCCCCGAGAGCTCTTTCAGCGGCCCGCATCCACCTGTGGCCCCCGTCCAATATCATCCGGTCACATGTCGGCAGGTCAACCAGCGAATCATGCCCCAACGTAATCATGGCTGGCTGACACTCCCTCTCCCTCCCTCACCGGGAGCCCGCACTGCACACTGTACGTGGTGCCTCCGCACTGACCAGCGCTCACCCAAGCCCCGCTAGGGCTGGTATTACGCCCAGTAAGTGGGATACACATAATGCCAACACATTATCCAACGTGGCTTCGTAAGCCCGGCATCGCACAGTGACAATCACAGTCACAGCACATGTATTTCAATTCAGATAGTTATACCTGCATAATCCCACGCAATGGAATATTCAATTTGTAAGGGTGTCCAATGTCTAGTTACGCGAGAGTAACACACAGTCACACGGATCCTCTGTATAGCTTGAACAAACTGTTGGGGCAATTGCTGTTAGTGAGCACCTATGAAGGCGGGCACGGCACACGTAATCAAACGTGGATACATGCATTACAAAAATCTACAACTTATCCACAACAGGACACTGTCGAGTAAAACCTTTTTTTATCATTCTGTATCTTGTTACGGGTGAAATGGTCCCATAGCTAGTACAGTATGCATGTGTAGTGACATCGTGGGATGTCAACGTGCAGTGCCGGCCCTAGAGAGGCACGGCGTGCGGTGTAACGACATCGCGGATACCACGATGGTGTAGGTGTAGTACCGGCCCTAGAGGGGCCCGGTGAGTGCTGATTGATAGCGCTAGATGGCACCACGCTTTGCGTGCAGTGCCAACCCTACAGGACAGGATTTGTGAGTGCCGGCCGAAGGATAAGTTTACTCGAGGTCATGGCACTCTGGTTGACCCGGGAGGACACGTGACCAGTGAAGTCTATAAAGGCCCCAAGAGGGGGCCAGGGATTGCCACGTGATTGGGACCCAGATCCTTCCCGAGGATTCTGGAAGGTGGACGTGGCCAAGGGCGGAGCCGGCCACGCCACAGAAGAATATAAGCTGGGTCCCGAGAGGGACCAGGGTTGTTGTTCATCCTGGAAGAAACCTTCGTCTACGTTCTCCGTTCAACGAGTCTCCAACACGTGGACCCGGGCCGAAGCTGTTGGTCCTGGTCCGTAGTAGCAGTTACGTTGTAACTAGTGTAGTTAGCCTGGTGGTCACCACCTGACTAGCTACACCAGTCACGTGGTAACTAGTGTAGTTAGCCTGGTGGTCATTACCATAGGTTGTCATTCTGTTAATGGGAAAGTTACCCCGTGTGTTGGAACTGAATAAATGTGTTGCCTCCAAGTCTACGTCTGCGACTCAGTTGAAGCCATTACACATGCATACAATGCAAAACATCTGTAGAGTCTTGGACAGGGACAAGACAGCCAAAGCCATGCACAAAAACATTGCAATCAAGCACACGCGTAAATAAATGTGGTTCAAAAGTAGGATAAATAATGCAATGGATATTCAGTGAAATGTATCCAAGTTTTTATTATTTGAATTAGACGGGTAACTTGCCACATTTCGAAACAAGACTTTTTGTCTGGAGTGGCCACCACTGGTATCGAGTTGGGTGAGATTTTTGCTGTGTTTTTTCAGGAGTCTCCTGATTATCATATATTCAACAAAACATTAAGGACGTACACATTTTTATCCAATTAGCTTTCCAAAAAACAATCGGTTGGCTGCCGTACGTAGCCAACCGTGCCCGTTGGTTGGCTACATACGGTGCAGAAGAAGTTCAACATGCACACTTACAGAAAAAAAACTTTTATTTTAATAAATGGAAGTTGGAAGAAGACAAAAAAAAACATAGGTTGGAAACCTGATTAAAGGAATGTTCTATTGGTGGCTACACTTGGTACAATGCAAGCAAATCGTCGCCAAGTTTTGCACAACGTTTAGTCGCGTGAACATATTGGGGTTTGGGCAGTGGCGTGGCGGTTGGCGTTACTGCAATATGGACCCGGCGACACGGGTTCGATTCCTGTTCACGGCCAACACCAGTGACGATTATCTGGACCGGTCCCGGGCCTCTCCTAGGTCGACTCAGCCTCAAATGAGTACCCGGTGCGGTGTGTAAACATCGCCACTGGGTAGACAAAGGCGGTCGGGCGTGGTGCTGGCCACCCACCCCCTCGTGTACCGTTCTGGCCTTCATAGGTGCTCGCTAACAGCACTTGCCCCTACAGTCTGTTAAGGCTATACGGGGATCTTTGTCCTTGTTTTTTGTCATCCAGCAGTGGATGAATAAATGGCGGTGCGTTTCTTTATTATCGATCCGAATGCTTCAGGTTGGCTGCAGTGTAAACGTGACAATGACAGCCACCATCAACCGCGGTCCATTCACGAATAAAGACTTTGTCTCTCTCGATTCACAATAGACGCTTACACTTTTCACTTTCACTCCACAGTATCTCTTATTAAGCCGGGCACATGCTTGTAATTAGCTATGGAACGTACTGAGCTTTTTGGGGGAGTTTTGTCTCTGGATCATCCTCTGTTCGCTCCTCCCCGCTGATCTTTAACCAAGTTTATTATTGAACTAAGCTGGGATGGCCCCATGTTCCTGATGGCTGATTTAAGAATGAAGTTAGTCGCTGGTGATTATTAGTAGAGTGCATTTTTCCATCTAGTCGTGTTCCCCTCCTCCCATCTGTGCTGAACTGCCCAGGAATTTGATGGTGTAATCCGTCACTGGTGTATTGAAGTCTATTTATTTATTTAAGTTGAACAAGATTGCCTACATAGCACTCTCACTTTCCTGTAGGGTCGCGGTGATTCCCAACGTTTTGGGCCTGCGGACCGAAGTCAACCGTCAACATTCTTTTGTGTTTCAAAATAAAATCTTCTCCAAATCGTCCAAATCCGATAACAGTTTGGCACACCATCTGGTGGAGGGCAGGGCGGGGGGGGCGCAGGGGGGGGGGCGGCGGGGGGGTGGCAGCGGGGGGCTGCCCAGCCCCCACCGGCCTTGCGGAGGCCATCCAGTGGTTTGCAGACCCACCGGTTTGGAGCCCGTCTGCTCTTAGAGGTCTAAAAAGAGGTGCATAAATGAATCATTAACAACAACAAAAATGGATGCGTAAGCTCATGATGATATGTGCATCGAATCAGGTGTGTAAGAACTGGTGGGTTTTCTTTCCATATGCAGGTGGTGGATTCACAGTTGCTCTGTTGTCCACCACCCAATCAACTTGCAACGTTGGGCCAACGTTGGAATATGGTTGGAATCATTGAACAATTGTTGGCCCAACCTTCCATATTTACTGGGGAGTGGCTTGTCACATTCACCAAAATGTAGAATAAGTATATAGCTTATATAATCGAATTGAGATTCTTTAATATTCGTCATGGAATCGTGACGGTGGTGGTGGTGGGGGGGGGGGTGGAGGGGGTGATGAATCATTACAGCACCAGTGACTTCCCACGAATATTTTATAATAATAAATTAATTTAACTTAAATTATGTAAATGTTCAGTTTGAGGAACTGCCCACTGTCATGTTCACGAGACACGTCACTCCGACTCAAGAGTTATCATTGAGATAGATTTTGGAGTTCAAGGCTATCATCCACGTATTCGTCAATATCATCTAGTGAAGTGATTAGTGTCTGATTAAAGTGAATGCTAGATTTTAAGAATGTGCTCCTTCATCAGTGTCACTTCGCAAAAAACCTGGAAAATTGTGGTGCCTCTTCCACAATTAAGATTCGTTCCCTTTCACTGGTTTTACGTCAAGAAAGGCTTGGTTTTGCATGTAATCTCCGTGGCTTTGATTATGGCGCATTGCAATTAACGTTTATCATTGTGCTATTACCAAAAAGAGACCTGTACGTTTTAGTGGTGCCCTCACATGGCTCAAATAAAAGAAGCACAATTTGGATTTACAAACTATCTAAATATGACCGCATCTCAAAACATGCATTTGATACATTTCTACTTAATTGTATATCCAGACACAAATGTTTTAATGACACAATTTGGCGCTTATAGTTACGTGGCAGGCACGCTTGCACGTGTGGTCTTGTTTGCTGTTGTGAAGCGTTGTCAATGGGCTCCTGACATTTTTTATTACATTTTTTTCATCACGCAATCAAAATGAGCACCAGGCCCAAACGACCCAAATCGTCAGGTGGCCAACGACAAACCACGCCAAATAGGCAACACGTTGATTGAACTGAGCAAGGTTATGTAAGAGCTTTTGGGGAAAAGAGGCGGCGATGCAAGACAATTCTCAAGTCAAATCAGACGTGATGAGAGAGGCAGAAAGAGGATCGTGGTGACCTGCAGTGTGGTATGCATGAGACAAAGCAGTCCGGCGGATCGAGTTCATGTTTTTGTTTTTTGTTTTGTTGCGGTTGCACCCGATTCAAGAGCCGAATGGCTCACAGGGCTATACCTAATAAATGAACTTTGAACTTTGAACATGAGCACAGGAATCAATGAGTGACGTTCAGCTGAACAGTCGGTCATAATTATGATAATTTTGATTCATAGGGTGCTGTTAATCAATTTGATCTCAGAATACCAAGCATGTAAAGGTTAATAACTCAGTGAGAAGTAATGAGGGAGATAATTAATTAAAGGGACAAGATGGAGAACTAGAGAGAGACCCTTTTAAACAGATGGGGCTTCTGCCGAGACTTACAAGTCTGCATTGACTCCGAGTTTTTGAGCTCCGAGGAGGCAACACAGACACGAAATCTCGATCACTACAGATTCGGAGTCATCCAACGGCTTCGTCACAGTGAACGTATAAGTATGTTGAACTTCTTTCGCACCGCACGTAGCCAACCATACTAATCGGAAGTGCGGCGGGGAGGGGGGGTAAGGACTAAATACAAGAATCAGTTCAACATCTACACGTGATGATGACGATGGTGATGGTTTGGTTTCTCCCTGTTGCCAGGATCCGTGTGCAAGCCAACCTGCCTGATCCCACAGAGCGACTCCGTCTTGCTCCCTGAGAATGTCACCCTCCCGGAGAACGTCACCGCCCTGTCGCTGCCGTACTGGACACTCCCCACCAAAGTTGAGGTCAGTCCTTTCTTGAAGCCGCGCATGAGGATTTTCGTGCGGAGGACACCCACCCCAACCCTTTCCCGTTCTGATGACGTATGCATATGTTACGTGTACGCCATCAGTTGTTCTTCCCAATTCTACTCCGTTGACCCACGTGTGCTTCCGATTCTGCTCCGATGACGTTCGTACACGTTAAAGCCATGCGGGAGGGCGTGTGGCACAGTTTTGCGCCAGCTATCGCAGAGTGAGGTCGTGTCGCTACAGTTCTCTGCAATGTATTTATAAACAGTGGCGCTATGTCTCTCTAAATAAAATGAACACTGAACTTCTTGCGTGTTCCGAAATTGGGCGGTGGATGGGGACCCCACCCTGTAACTTGGAGACATCTCAGACACGGGAAAGGGTTAAATGCCTCAGCAGCTGAAAGCGCCTTGCATCACTCGCACCTCGTCTCAACAATCCCAGTGCCCTGCTGCTGCAGGTTTACGCGCTAGTCTTCCAGCGCGGGAGTTGCGATGTGGCTTTTCTCAATGAAGTACATTGTGAGAATTTTCATAAAATTTGGACGTGGATGCCAGTGCACACCTATAACCTCTTATCTGTGTGATCTCACGGGATGTTTAGGGTCCACTGCGAAACAAACGGTGCATATTCCTTCGGTCAGTAAAAACCACCATGATTAATCAGGGCGGTCCATGGGCTTGAAGCGCGAAAATCTGCAAACAAGCGGCAAATGCGCTGCTGCTGCTGAGCCATGTCACCTTGTGTTGACATTGCGAGGATGTTTTTTTTAGTCTGAGCAGCAGTGGCATTGCATTCTTGAAACCAAGCTTTCTTGATTTGTTTTATAGTTGTCTGTAGACAGCTGCAGCGTTGGTTTAAATCACGGCAGGCTGCTGTTATGTGTCGGCATGAAGGTGTATTTACGTTTTCGTTGCACGCCTGCATCTCTGTTATGAAGGGGAGGATAAATGGTTTTAAAACAGACAAAAAACACTCAAGTGGAGTTTTTTTACTTTTGTGACAACGTGCAACAGCAGTCGCTTTTACGATGCATCGAGTGATCCATTATTAATATCGATTCTAATATCAGAGGTAGCTCTGGGAAATCCGCTTTAGAGGGCCGTTCTCTCATCGGTACAATGTGAAAGAAGTTCAGCAGACACACAAGACCTGTTTAAAGCTGCGCGGTGGTAGTGGCAGCAATGGTGTCATTACCAGCAGGTGCAGAATGTAGCAAACAATATACATATGTAGTGACGCACTCGGAGACACGAGGAGAAAGAGGCACTGTATTCATTAACAGCCTTCACAAGTAGCAAGGGACAACTACAACTCTCAGTCAGGACAGCTGGCAGATTGCCGGACTGATGATGCCGAGAAGGTGAAGACGTTGACATAGACTTCAGCAGCCCGGCAGAATTCCACTCCACGCAACAGCCCCAAGCCTTCGCTGGGGGTCCCCTTTTATCCTCCCAGCGTGGCCTCGCTCCGTCCCGGCCATGCCCCCCTTCTAGAACATACTAGCGGGTTCCCGGGCTTACCTCACGTGCCCCCCACCCATCACATCCCCCCCCCCCTCTCTCTGACTTATTACGTAACCTGCTGACAGACAGGGCTGCTGCAACTGCAGATCCCCTTCTCTGCCAGCAACCCGCGCTATGCTACGTAGTGACCCATTCCATGTCACTACACACATATACAAATACATTAACGCCCCCTGCGCCCCCCCCCCTCGGGTCCCTCTAACTGTAGGCTCACAGTGATTGCATCACCTTTCCCTATTTAAGACCGAAAACAGGTTGACATATTGAGACTTCTTGAAATTCTGCCTGATGATGCCGGTTGCAATCGCCAGCGGAAACAACGTGCTCGATTGCAATACGTTGTGGGGTGTTTGCTCGCCCAACACGCAACCGGGCGGGGGGGCTGAAGCAGTGACAAATTGGCACGTTACGTTCGCGTGACAAACCTTACCGATCGTCCGCGTCGGGTAAATGTGGGTGCACGACACAAATTGCGGCATTTTACTCGACCCAAGCGCAAGGAGGTTTTTTTTTATTTTTTTATCACGAGTAGTAAATGATTCGATGCGGAAATGTTCTTGTCAATCGACAGGAGATCGTCTGCACGGGGAAGAAGGAGTGGCACCCCCCACCACATGCCATCTACTGCTTCCAAAATTGCGAGGTGAGAACCCGTTGTATGTACGTACGTACGTATGTTGAACTTCTTTCCTTTGCTCGCAACTCAAACACAAAACATCTTTAAGGGCCGAGCGTCCAAGTGGTGCCAGCCATTTCAAGTACAGTACGATACTCCGTTTTTAACCTTGCGCGTGAACTGAAGCAAAAATTTAAACAGCTTGAAATATATCGTTTGTGTGTGTATATATACATGTTGGTGGGGAGCGGTAGTGTAGTGGTTAGCGCACTGCGCTACCAACCCCGGCGACCCAAATTCGATTCCCGCTCACGGCCAACACCAGTGATGAGTATCTGAACTGGTCCTGTGCATTGTCTAGGTCGACTGGGCCTCAAATGAGTACCTGGTGCGGTGTGTAAACTTCAAAACTCGGGAGACAAAAGCGGCCGGGCATGGTGCTGGCCACCCACCCCCTCGTCTGCCGTTGTGGCCTTCATTGGTGCTCGCTAACAGCACCTGCCCCAACTGTCTGTTAAGACTATTCGGTGGATCTTTGTCTTTTTTTATAGAGGTTAAGGTGAAACCTTGCAATGTCTTGCTAACGCCACCACTGCTGGCAGAACAGCCTTCACTTTGGAGAGCCCCTCTAGAGGGTGTCTTGGCCTACTCTTCCATGCCGGCCAGGCGTCTTGTACGAGTTGGAAGTTGCCCCACATTTTATTCCGCAACACGTGGCCTCACCGTGCACCCATTCACACTGCTGGGATGGACAGAGTTGGGGGGGGGGAATTTAAGAAATTCGAACCAAAATTTCAGCTGTGCTAACCATTGCAACATGGAGCATATTATATATATATCTATAGTGATAATAAAATAGCACTTGCTGCGTCTGGCTTTCATTAACAACATAATGTGTGTAGGCTTGTCAGATAGGTTACTGCACTTTGATCATCCGAATTAGGCTACGGGGAGTCCCACCGTTGGATTTTTAATGTCATAAATTAGCTTCACTTTCCATGCCCAAGGATACTCATCTCAAGTCACGATCTGTGGTTTAATCTTCACGCGTCGATCGATCGGTTGAATATTTTTTTTATGGTCCGTTAAATAAAATAAAGTCTGCTGACATGGCTCACAGATACAGATGCCTCGAAATTATTACATTGTGGCCACAATTGGAATTTTGTAATGTAAAACACAGTCCAAAATTACATTTCAATAAGAATTCCGTTTGCTCATGTGTTTTGCATTACCGATGACAATATAAAATTATTTCTGATTGGCCCAAGTAATCGTATCACTTATTTGATTTTTCCCATGGATTAAATCTTACTGTCATTGTATACCCGCTCACAATCTCAAAGTGTGTGAGTTTGAATCAGTAGTGACGAAGCAATCACAACGCAGTTTTTTTTACGTTTTCACTTCATCATCATCATCATCAGCCATGATCAATTCATTGCTGGATGAAGGCTTCCCCAAGCAGCCATCACCTCTCATGATCTTGCGATTTAATGATCCACCAGCAAATGCACATGAACCATATCTGATTGTTTATGCAGTTACATTTTAACAGTCTAGTTCTGGGCACAATTCCTAAATAATCCAGGATATTTTGCAACAATACTTCTTTGAAATTCGTTTCATTTAAACGTTTCTTAACTTTTAACGCGTGAATGTGTTTTTTTTTCAATCTCTACAATTCTTGCGCCATCCTCTCCTGAATGATATTGGGGTTGGAGGGGGGTGGCGGTGGGGGGGGGTTCAGGATTTGAGAAATTTTGCGCCATCGTTTCAACTACCGCGCCGGGAGATTGAATCGAACCGACCGACCCTCTGGATCGCAAGCCCAGTTGTGCCAACCATTTCACCACAGTGGCAGCATCTTAATCATGGATGACACCTTTATGGACGCCCTTTATACGAACGCATGCTTGGTGGGGTGTTTGCATTTGTGGACGTGCCCAGTTGCTGCCACATATGAGATATGTGTTTGAACCAGACTTCCCTTTCCAGCTGGGCTTTTTTACAAAGTCAACAGAAAATCCAGAACTAATTTTTTTCCTCTCCTGCAAAGGCTGGGCTAGATTGAGGTTACAGCGGCTTGCCCAAGAGAAAGAAATAAAACCTGGAGCGAAGAAAAAAAACCCGTCGTTAATTCTTTAAACAACGCGTTTTAATTAAAGCAGATTTGCAGTACAAAGACACATTCTGCAGGTGGTTATAAGTAGTTATAAGCAATCTGTTGTGTGTGTGCCTGGGCAGTAGCTGTGGTATAAATTAAACGCAGAAACCAACAAAACTATTATCATCAAAGGCATCTGGCCAGCATGGATGAGGCCAGAAACCATTGAGAGGGGCTCTGTCGGCCCTCCCTCAATTTGAGGCCCTTCTGCCAGTTGTGGCATTTGCAAATAATTACAGGTGCTCAGCTTTACCTTTCTTGCAATAAAATTAAAAGCTTTAGAGGGTGTATAATAAGCAATACTCATCGCGATACATTTGGTGTACTTAGACGTTAAGAGGTGTAACGTCAATCAATATTGATCGCTAAGCTCACAATGCAACCCATCGAAAGCGTGCGTGGAACCATCGCTGTTTTTCTATTCGTATATGTGTTCACATGTCCCCCGCAGCCACTAGAGGCCGCTATATTCACCACTATTTTTTATATTCGATTGTTGAGCCAAACCATGACCCTGAATCACCTAGATAGGTTCAAAGAAAATAAGAAAAAACTACGACGTTTCGATCGCAACACAAGCGTTCGTCATCAGGAAGAGGGGGTTAGCTTCTAAAGGAAACTGTTTATAAAGGTTTGAAATGGGCGTAGCCCAAATGTCAGCAGCCAATGTGAGTGTGAGTGGTGGGCAGCGACCGTGACGGTGGTGGGTTTTCCACCAATCAAAGGGCTGCCCAGTAAAAATTTGCATCATTGGAACCTCATTTGCCAGTAGAAAAATATGATAAATGTTTTTTTACCCTTTAATCTGGCAACAAAACTGACACCTTTTTTACAAGGAGTCATGTTTGCATAGACCACAATACCTGCAGTCGTAATGCAAACAAAAAAAACCTAACTCTGATAATGTATGCACTGTCCTTGAAGTTGATTGGTCCACACCCGAGACAGCTTTCCTTAGAGCCTAGTCTCACATGGTGTTGGAAAAACACCATGTGTAATAAGTATAACCCGTAAAAAAAAGTTTTTCACTATAAATCCTTTATATGCATGGTGGCTAGAGTCATCTCGTCCTCTGGCTTGAGATGGCTGCCACCTATGGGTCAGATGATTGTCTGCCAGTATTAAGCAATTGGTAATTAAATATTTAATTTGTTTTCCCTTAACAGTGTAAAATTTTGGAAACATTTTGTCACGAACATTAATTGTCTCGCACAACGAGTCTGTGTGCAAAATATCAGCTCGATTGGATCACGGGAAGTGGGTTAAAAAACGACCGAAAGATTTGCACGGTCGCAAGCAAGCAAGCACGCAAGCACGCAAGCAAGCAAGCGAACTTAATATAAAGGATTTAAAAAGGTGTCAGTTTTGTTGCCAGATAAAAGGGTAAAAAAACAATTATCAAAAATGAGCATGTTAATGTGAAATCGTTGAGCGGCCTCCACAGCCAGCGCCCTGAGGTGGCTATGTTAATGTGAGAGATGAGCATGTTAATGGGAGATCGCAGAGTAGCAACCTCGAGCTTGGTGAGCGAGGTGGCTGTGTTAGTGTGAGACATTTTACCGTGGAGGCCGCTCAACGATCTTACATTAACGTGCACATTTTTACTGGGCAGACCTTTGATTGGTGGAAAAGCTCACCACTCGCATTACCATTGGCTGCTGACATTTGGGCTACGCCCATTTCAAACCTTTGTAAACAGTTTCCCTATAGAAGCTAACCCCCTCTTCCTGATAAAGAAACGCTTGTGTTGCGATCGAAACGTCGTTTTTTTATTTTCTTTAAACCTATCTTCGTAACTTTGCCGAAAGACCCAGGGAATATGAATTCCTGCAGTCACGAAAGCTTTAAGTCAAGATTCATGACCCTGAATTGCAATACCCTCTAAACTGCATACGAATCTGGAATTTACATCTTCATTTTTCTTTTATCTTTCGATCTCTTTTTCCTGTTTTGTACCATCATTTCCCACTTCATTTTATTTATGCCTTTTGTGCACCACTCTGAGGTGCAGTCACATTTAAGCGCTCAATAAATGTAAATCCTTTCGTGTGAGTAAAATTCCACGCGCACTTTTGAATGCACGATGGAATATGGCTGGAAAAGTTCCACCGAATAAATGTTTAAGCTCGTTATTTCTTTACTCTGCTGTAGCAGATCTTCAAGTTTTAATCCATGATCAAATCACCCCCAACGTGCCCGAACATGTCTAGATATCATATATATAATACATATAAATAGAAATACGTTGATTTTCTCCACATACAATTCAATGCATGTGTCATGAATTTAAGAATCAACATTATTTGATGAACTCGCGTTATTTTTCCACTCCATCCAGAGACTCAGGGTGGCTCTGCTGAAAAACTAAAGAGCATCCATATCATGATTATCATTCTTAATTTTGATGTGGGCTGTGTTGTGCACTTGTGTGGTGTTTAGTTATGGGTCGGAGATGGGTACTGTGATCCGATGAACAACAACGCCTACTGCCACTACGACGGAGGGGATTGTTGCGATTCCACATCCACCTCCAAACAGGTGACCAAGTCACACGCCCATGCTGCACTCGAATACATTATAAGGTCGCACTCTGTACACACAAACGCTTGCCACAAATGAACCACAATAACTTGCTGATCTCATCAAGGAGCATCAACCATCACGCAAACTGCGGTCTTTTTTGGGACACCGTAGCAAAGGGGTTTTGGAAGACAGTCCTTGTCGGTAAATATTGGAGGAGAGGTTTTGAGAGGTTAAAGTAGAAACAGGAGAGAAGTGTCCCGGGGTCACTGGGATAGTTATGGAGGGCGCTTAAGAAGGATGGAGTGGATGATGGTGTTGAAAGCACCAAGGAGAACTCGAAGCGAGAAGGACGCACGTCTGAGGGGAGAAGAACCTGATTTAGCACACGTAGGGGGGAGCGGGGATTCAGCGGTGTGGCCTTGGTGGAAGCCAGATTGATGACGGATCACGAAGACCATGGCTGGAGGTGCGTTTAAGAGGGGTGCGCGGCGATCACTTTTGAAGCCGCTGCCCACAGAACCGGAGCTTTGAGGTAGCAGGGAAGGTCACGTGGATGTTGAGGTTCGCCGTGATTTTTTTTTTATTCTCAGGATGGGATTGACAGCAGCAGTGTCGAGGCAGATCTAGAAAATTCTCAAGAAGGTTGGGGAGGGGGGGAAGGAGGCAGGGAGTCTTGAAATTTCAAGCTCTTAAAATAGGGCCTTGCATTGCTCAATAAGCATTCAGTGTATTGTCTCTTGTGAATATCAATAAAATACACATTTTTGGGATCTCTAGCGGGATGGGTAGTGGGGTGAGGGGGGGGCCATCACCGCCATCCCCCCACCCTTTTGGATCCACCACTGGCTGAGGGGCATTAATGAAGCTTGTGATGTAAAGGGCGAGAGTGGATAGGCAGTGATGGATGGGTTTGGCAGGCAGAGGATCAATGACGGAAGGAGTTAGGCTGGGAATGATGGTCGGGGTGTCATTTGGGGTGACTGGGCATGCATGTCAAGGGCAGGTGGTGGGGGGAGTAGAAGGCGAGGCAATAGACGGGCAGAGTCAGACACCAGAATGCCATTCCAATTTTTTTTTACAACTTTTCAGAGAAATAGGAGGCGAGTTATTCACATTTGGCAACTGACGCAGACGCAGGAATGAGTTTACAGTACTGTGCTGAAGAGTGGTATCAGAATTTATTCTGGGCTTCCCTAGGGAAACTCAGCCTTAAATTGGTATATTGTGCAATATGTAAACATCAGCGCTGGGGAGACAAAGGCGGTTTGACGTGGTACAGGCAACACCATCCCCTTGTGCGCCGTGCCAGCCTTAATAGGTGATCACCATCGGCAATTGTTCAAACACTCGTAGCAGGAGATCTTCGTCTTCGTGTATAGGTTCTGCAGTGGCACTCACCACTGCTACAATTTCAGTGACCTGAGTTTCATTTGCGGCCATGTGTAGCTAAATTACTTGGTATACGGATATGGTTTGGGCCTCATCCTAAACGTGTAGAGTCGTAACTGGTATTTTATTTTTGCTCCAGCACAGCGGAGGTAGAGGCGAGCAGTCACGAGGTGCGTACTACGGACGGGAAAGACTCGCAATTCGATTCAATGGTCCATTCTGTAATCTTTGGTTCTTTCGGTAAAGTCACGTAGGTATGCAAATAATAGATCACGACGTTTCGATCGCAACACAAGCAATCGCCATCAGGTGGGACAACCACGGCAATAAAAAAAACTGCTCATGACGATTGCTTGTGTTGCGATCGAAACGTCGTGATCTATTATTTTTCTACCTACGTGACTTTACCGAAAGAACCAAAGAGTATGGATTCCTGCAGTCACGAAAACTTCAAATCAAGATTGGTCCATTCTACTTTAACTTCTGCAGTCAATCGTCGTGTGCCTCTCGTTGGTGCTGGGCGATGTCAACCATAAGATACAGCGCCTACGTGTGTAGACTTTTTGGCAGTCCCCAGGGGCGTGCCACCGTTTCCACAGACCTCAACTTTCAATTATTTACCCAATCAGCCGAGGTATATCAAACACTGCCATCAAGTTCAACGCAACACCGCCAGATCTTGACACAGTCAACTGTCGCCGCCCCGAACACGTGCCGATTCCCTGACCGTCCGGGTCAGAGCAGGACAGCTGGCATCTCCATCCCCGATGCTGTCGATATTTTTTTTTATTAAATCCGCATTGTTATATACCACACACTGGTCAGCAATGTGAAGAAAATTGGGAACACGTAAGTGCTGCCCCCATTGTCTGTCCGCAGCGCAGCCTCCCATAAACTACACATTATCTGAGCAAATACGTGAAAACGTAATTGACTTGCGCACGCGCCTGATTCGAAGCCAGTGTCGATAATCAGGGCCACCACCCAGAAGTTCCTGTTGGCCCATGGCAGAATTCCACGGGCGGCCTCCTTAAACGATAGCAACAGCAACAGGGCAGGCCTGTCGCGGGGTTCTCTTCCGCGCGATGCCTGGGGGCAACCGGCCCCTTTTGCAACTCCCCTGCCAACATGCTAGGAATCGCTATTAATCGATGAATCGGTGCGTTGTTCTACCCCCTGCTTCATACCCCCCACCCCCCATGCTCTGGTAAGCCTTAATAAGTGCTTGTTAACTGCACTTGGCTCAACACTCCATGAGGCTAAGTGGTGGTGGTGGGGGGGGAGCAAGGGGTTGTCTTTCTCTAAAATGCGTTGCACACATCTTAATCTCCTTTTGATCGTCGCGTCCCCACTGTGGAAAAGCCGTCACAACGCACAAAACTTGTTCCTTGTGGCGGGGGGGGGGGGGGGGGGAATAACTGACCATTACAAACACTTACGGATTAAGTGATCTTTAATAGGGCTCGGATTCATATTATCCGAACATCTGGTTGTGTTTCTGTGTTCTACCTACTGGTGCATGCGAACGTAAGAGGCCTTTCTCACACGGGGATTTCGCAACGCAAGGGGACTGATTGCCCTGAATTGCTGCCAGCCCGCGGTGAATCCAAGCAACAGTTAAAACTCATTTTTGCTTTGGCAATAAAAAAAAATAACATTTTGGGAAATTGTTTCCCCCGCCACCCCCTAAAGGGACCCAGTAAAGTGCACGGGCATTATTATAATTCATACACAATAAAACGTACAGTGTATTAAAGCGGCCGCAGCTAGAGCAGCAGCAGCAGCATCTGTCGCAAAAAAACTACTCGTTGCTGGGATTGTTCTGCGCATTAGCCCGCATTCCACATTGGCTAGTTTTGTAGTCATGTGTGGACCAGGTGTCAGTCAACGCTGTGCAAGCGTGATGAAGCAACATGCAAACAGGGTGGCAGCACATTGCAAACAAATTGAAAGTTATAGGTTTAAAAAGTTAAAGGTGCCATTACGTGTTTGTGCTATGAACGTATCCATTGATGCCCTGGACACCCTTGTAAAGTAGATGTTTCATCACAAGTATTCCCTTTCCCAGTAAAACAGTGGGTAATTGAAGAGATGGGGACATTTATTCGCTGCGATTATATGCCCGAAGAGAAGAAATTAGTCTGCGGTCTGAATATCAATCGTGAAGTCAGTGCAAAGAGTCATCGGTAAGCTGGGGTTGACACTTTAATACAAAATCGTAATAAAATAATTCTCACGACGTTTCGGCCACAACGCAAGCAGCCGTCCTCAGGTGAAGAACAGGTCTGTCGTGACTTTACCCAAAGAACCAAGAAGATGAATCCCTGCAGTCACGAAAGCTTTAAATCGAAATTTAAAATCGTAATACTTTTCACCATCCTACTAATGGCTTGCCATGTTATGGCGCTCTGGAAGTTGTGATTATTATTTTTATGCAAAAGCAAATGAGGCGCAAATTTGGCAAATGTTGGACCATGATGCTGGTGCACAATGACCTTCTCGTTTTCAACGGCATTGCGGATTTTTTGTTTTAACATCTGCTGTTGATGCAATCAGCACGTCATTTATGGTGAACGCACGCGCAGTATTAACCGGGGTAGCTTTGCCGGATTCCAACCGCAGCATTTGTGCAATGAGCGACGACCACGCCAAGTCTCACCGCCCTTTGTTCTGGCACCTCAACGTACCGCATGGGGGAGTGGGTGGGGAGGGTGGGGGGGAAATGCGGTGTAAGTAATAAATGATGATGAAGTTAGTAGGGGCGATTTTTTTTTATAACTGATGCACCGGTGAACAGAACATAGAGGAGGAATATGATCAGCACAATCCCATCTCCGTTACGTGCTTGGGTGAGTTTAGGCACAGGAGTCAGAATCACATTAAGGAATAGAGCGAATGTGCCGGACAGAAGAACGTTTTAAACAGTGCGTACTATCTGCTGTGACACATGGCTCAGGAATACGGTCATTAGCAATAGCACAAGAATGTGACAAAAAGTGAATAGCTGCGCAGAGTAGCTTGGAAAGATGAATGCCTTGGAATGGCATTGAGCGATGGATTGAGGAACGCATGGATTAGAGAACATACACACATGTTAATGACATCATCATTCAGGCTATACAAATTACATAAGTGGGCTTGTATGTATGTTGAACTTCTTTCGCACCATACGTACCCGACCGTGCTAGTTGGAGGTGCGGGGGGGCGGGGGGACAAACTAAAACACTATAAGAAGTTCTAAAGAAATTCGTTTTCGATTGAGCGGTGGCTTGGGGAGGGTTGCATCCAGCAGTGGATTGACCATGGTCTAATAATAATGATGCGAGGGCTTCGATGACAATCTTGCCATCATTCGAGCAACAGGGTGATACTGCAGTTACATTTGTGTCACTCGGCAAGAAAGGGCCCTGAGTTCGATTCCCGACGTTTTTCTCCGTGGAGTTTGTAACTTATATCTCCCCCTTGTGCTGCACGGGTTCCGTCCGGGTTCTCTAAGAAAGACCTACAACTTCAGGATACCCTCCCGACAAAAAATCATTGAGACTCGTTAAGGCTTTTCCTGCGTAAACAAATGTGATAACAAACAATAAATATAATCGAGGTGGTGTGTGTCTGTGTGTGTGGGA